AGAGTGAAGATGATTAGTAGTATTTGTACTTCTTAATACTAGAAATGTCAGCATGAGGAACTTGCTTTCAGCAAAGAAAAAAAAAGAGCTGAGTAATATTAGTATTCTTCTTAAAATGCTTTAAAGATGCCTAGTGAGAAGCCTACTAATTTGAGTTTATAATATTTTATTTACAGCCTGTTTTCTATTGTGGCAAGTAGAACACTACATTAGCCTCAAGAAAAGGCAAAGATCATAACCACAGCATTTTAGGTCGCATGTTATTGCCCCTGGAACTTTGCTATTCAGTTGTTCAAGTTCTCTTTACTTCATTCTCAAAAAGATGAAGCTTTATTATATTCTATGCAGTTTTTGTCCCATGACAAGATAAACCTTACAGACCTATGGGAAAGTTTACCATCTGCCTTAAAACTTAAAATATGCCATCTGTTATTCTGATTAAAACAGAATAAAATAGAGGACTAAAATGTATCCAAGGGATTGCAATGATTTTTACTGTACATAATAGTATAGGACATTCTGATAGATTATTCTCTGTCATCCTCAAAGTCATTTCTGCTTTGAAAATAACACATAAACCACTTGGTCTCGTATCTGTTTTGTCTTGACCCCGTAAATGACAGGATTCAGCATAGGTGGAGCCAGCATGCTGACATTGGCCAGCAAGATATGGATATGCAGTGGGATGTGGCGTCCAAAGCGCTGAGTGAGGACTGAGAAGACCCCAGGCCCATAGAAGAGGATGATGACACAGACATGGGAGCCACATGTGTTGAGAGCTTTGTGGCGAGCATCTTGGGAAGGGATGTGGAAGACAGCACAGAGAATCAGAACATAGGAAATGAGAATGAGAACAATATCTAGGATCACTGTGGACATTAAGACAAAAAAACCATACCAGATGTTTACTCGGATGTCATCACAGGCATACTTGGCCAAGCCAATGTGTTCACAAAATGTGTGTGGGAGGATGTTATTTCTGCAAAAACGTAGTCTTTTTAGAAGAAATATCATGGGGAAAATTGTACAATGTGCTCTTAAGAACACAGCCACACCAATTTTTCCAATCAGAGAGTGGGTGAGTATCATGGTGTATCTCAGTGGGTAACATATAGCAACATAGCGGTCAAATGCCATCATCAGCAAGATGCCTGACTCAGAAATGAAGGAGGAATGCTGGAAGTAGAGTTGGGCAATACAACCATTAAGAGAAATTTCCCTATTGTTGCACCAGAAAATAGCCAACGCTTTGGGTTCTGTGGTGCTGGCAAAGACAATGTCAACTCCAGCCAGCATACAGAGGAAAAGATACATGGGTTCGTGGAGGCTGCTCTTTGTCAGGATAATGAAGATGAGCAGACCATTTCCAAGAAGAGCAAAGACGTAGGAGATGAAAAAAGGGATGGAAATCCATATGTGTAAGTCTTCTCGTCCTGGAATGCCCAGCAGATAGAAGACAATGTGGTTGACACTGGTGTGGTTGACCACAGCCATTCCTGAGGCAAGCTAAATCGGACTTTATCTTCACCTAATAAATCCAAAAATTCAGATTATATATAAATATTTCCTTTAAGTTTTCTGGTTAAATATATAAAATTAAATGTCTACCATTTCATTTTAATTTGCCACCATTTCCTTGTAACACTCCACTAACATGTCAGTAAAAGAACAAAACATCATAAACCAAGAGAGTAGCAGATAGCAGAGAAGAGATGACCATGACACTTTGAAGACAAATAGATAACTATTGACTAAGTAGATGGGATAAAACTAATAGCTTCTAGATGAAGACAAGAGTCAAGGTAGTTTTCACTATACTACCCAGATGACCTCAAGAATTAGAAGTTTTGCTTATCTAGACAGGCATAAGGACGAGCTGGGGTTTGGGTTTGCTTTTCTTTTAAAAAAAAAGTGTTATTGGTTAAAAATTTGTGTAAAGAACTGTTAGAACTCTTGGAATACTGGATGTATTCTAACTCATAATATTGGAGGTTTATTCTCTAGTGGAGTTGAACCTAGAAAATCCTGGAGACTAAGCATAGCTGAGGACAGGGTTACTATGCTGAAAAGCAGAGGAAACCTAGAAAATCCTGGAGACTAAGTATAGCTGAGGACAGGGTTACTATACTGAAAAGCAGAGGGTTAAATAAAAAGCTACATTAAACAAAATAAAACCCCTATTTGTGTCTGGTAATGCTAGATTACGGGACTCTACCCCAACCTCACAATTTATTCATATTTAAGAATGAGGCAGTGGGCTAGCCCTATTGCTCAGCAGCTGAGGGAGCTGATCCTACATGACCAACTGCAGTTGGGACCCCAGCCATGGTGGTCTGCATACCTGCCTAAAATATGACAGGGAGGCAAATGGAGGAAAAAGGATTGCAGTGTGACCAATGCCCCTTTGGGGGAGATGCTTTCTTTCTGTTTCCTCTCTCCTTTCTCTCTCTTTTTCTCTCTCTCATGCACATGTGTGCAAGTGTACACATCCTATGGAGATAAAAAACTTTTTTAACTTAAAAATAAGAGGATGAGACATTGAAAAGTAACTTTAAGTTCTGTGTGTAGACATGAAACTTATCTATGGACAAATTTCTCGGTCAAATTATCCCAATCCAGTGTTTTACACCAACATACATCAAAATTTTGGAAGGGTAAAAAAAGACTATTTAAGGCTTTAAATAAAAATAAACCAAAAATAGAGAAAGAAATATGGGCTAAAATAAAGAAGGTTCAGGAGAAAGTATAGGTTGTGAAGGGATGAGAGAAGTCCTTGAGTAATGAATGGTGAAGGCTGATAGCTGTAAAAAAGGCCTAAAGCATCATGAATCTAGAATAGGTCAGAGGGATACAAGATACAGAAAGGAAACTGTAAACTAAAGGATAGTAAAGGAGTCAAAGAGGAAAATGGAAAAGAAGGAAAAACAGATATGAAATCAGATTTAAGTTCAGTGGCCAAAGCACAGCCTTCTTTTGAAGACTTGGATTTCCAATTCAAATTAGTTTAAAGGCCCACTGAGAAGCTACCACCTATTCTGTCCTGTCAGTCCAATTTTAGCCATTGGTCTCCTTCACAATCTGTTCATAAGACTCCAAACATCCTGATGCTCCTCACATTCCAAATGACTTTCATTACCATAGGCTTGCAAGGAATTCTGATGTCTAGTTCTAAGTTCACCCTCTTCCCAGAATCTCACCTGATATATGAAAAAAATCAGTCATCAGCCTCAGATCAAGTCCTCTGAAGACAATGGAATCAGTGATGGAAAGCAGCTTCTACAGTTGAAAATTAAACCATAGAAGTAATTGTCTTAAGACTTCTTGGGAGGGCACTTTTATTTCAGGGCCCTGTTGCCCTTGGGTTCAGACTCCATCAGTTCACTCACAGTCCCATATGGGCCAAGTCATTAAGCCTGTTTCCTACTACCTTTTTCTCTTGACACCTGGTCCTCTGACACCTGTCTGGTTATTTGATCTCCGTCCTCGAATTATATGCACGTATATTTGTGTCTTTTTATACTCAGAGGTTCTCACTCCTCAGCTTATATGCTTTCTCATTCTTAAGTTTATATGGTCTCCTGAGAAATTCCTTTGCCTGTCTCAAAAAGTATTATACTCGAGATAGCAGTTAGCATAATGGCTCTGTCGCTGAACTCCCATGTAGTCAATCGCAGTTTGAGTCCCGGACCAGTGGCTTAAACTCACACCAGGCACGTGTGCATGCATGATCCCAAGAGGAGAATGGAGAAGGGATTGTGGCATGGCCATCCCCCGTGGGGCATGATTTCTCACTTTCTAGCTCTCTGTCTCTCTCTGTCTTTCCAGCAAGCACACGTGCCCTATAGCAAAAACCTCTAAAAATAAAAAAAAAGAAAGTATTATACCCAATCTTAGACTATAGGATATAGAAGCATGGAAAATGGTGAGGGTTCTGAAGACTGTGTGGAAAGAGGGGGAGAGAAGAGAGGGAGAGTATGAGGAAAGAAATTAGGAGAAAAATAGAGAGGCAAAACGTTTATGGGACACAGAAATGGATTATTATCTGTTGATGATAACGTGCCTATTAGCCTGAACTGGACTAGTGTGATGTGTATTCATGTTGGGTAAAGTTATTTTACAAGCTAAGTGGTGTATACTGAGTGAATGTATAAAATAAATTAAAATAAAATTAAAATAAATGAATTTTTTAAATAAAATCAATATGTGTGATTTATTTTAACAGGTATCCTTAGAAAATACATCCCCATAATTAAGATAAAATTAAAATTCAGTTTATCCAGGTGCTATGCTAAAATTTGCATTTTAGAGTCCTTAACTTGGGAATATTTATTACATATAGGGCTATTTGCAGCAACATGTGAGTTGTAATTGCTATGGAAAATACTATTTCCTTTGGCTGACTAGAACTTCAACACAATTGATGTTCGATGGGAAATACACTACCATTGAGGCTGATAAATTTATATTCCACTTTTTATTCATATTCTTTTCTTTCTTTGTTTTTATCTTGATCACAATGTCCAATTATGAAAATAACACAAAAACATTGCCAAACAACAACAACAAAATCAGGACCAGCAAGTAGTGTGGAGGTTAAGGTAGCCGGATTCCACATGGATGACTCCACTGTTTCAGCCTCCAACCCAGCAGCTTGAAAATCACACTGGGTGTATGGGTGTGTATGCCCAAAATCCTGAGAGGAGAATGCAGGAGAAGGGGTTGTGGTATGGCCATCTCTACTGTGGGGTGCTTTCCCTCTCTCTGACTCTCTTTAGTGAGTTTTTGTGCCCTATTACAAACAAAAAAAGAAAAGAAACAAAGAAAGAAATCAGTGGTCAGGTGCTGACGCAGAAGTAACACAACTGAACCTACATTGAAAGGCTCCTGGATTCACATCCTGGGATCTCCCTATGCCCTCTTGGAACCCGGGCCCACTGAGTCTAGAGGTAGATCACTGCATGAAGACTCTGTTTAAAAAAATAAAATAGAATACATGAATAATTGTTTGTGATAACTTCATTAATACTCCCCAATCATTTGAAAGAAAAAGAAAATCTGTACTTTTTGTTTTTAAGAGAGTTTTTTTTTTTTTTCTATAGGGCTTATGTGCTTGCTGGAGAGACAGGGAGAGACGGAGAAACAGAAAATGAGAAATTGGTCCTGGTAAGATGGCCATCCCATAATCCCTTCTCCTCCATTCTCCTCCTCTGCCTCTCTAGTGAGCTCACACACTCTATTAATAACTGAATATCAGTTTTTATTTTTTCAAGAAAAACTGTTTTAACTTTAATAAATCAAAGAAATGCTAAGGAACTTTGCTTGAAACTTAAAGCCAGGAAACAGTTTAGGATTCTGTTCAAATAGTAGGTACATGAACCTATCGACAGCTGAAGACAGGACAAAAATCCTAATAACCTGAATATCAGTTTCTAATTAAACTGGCTTTATAGAACTTTATAGAATCTTTCCACATAATATTTTACCAGGCTTGACTGAGTTATGTGACAAATTTTCTAAATACTTGTGAATTCTAAACAGGCTAAAATCTGAAGAGTGATACTGAACTCAAACCAAGCTCACTCACCCAAGCCTCTACAAAACAAACTCTAACACAAACTACGATGAAGGTATACAGCTTTACTGTCATATGCAAAGCAAGGAGAGCAAACAGCTAATGCTGAAAGACTTAGTACCCCCCCAAACTCCATGCATGCATTTTAAGGGGAAAATTAAGAGTAGGGGCCCCAGGCACATAATCAATTCAATAAGCATTTCAAAAGGGCATGACTTTATCAAGTTACACGTGTCAGTTATAGCCATATAACTCAAATTTTAAAATGGTAAAAATATTGGTAAAAACATTTACTATAATATCTGATCTATATATACCAAGTGTACATCTTTCTGAGGTGTAATATGGTTAAAGATATGTAGAGTATGCAATAAATCAAGGATGTAAACATGTTCACAGTCTCTAACATTTTTCATTATGATATGTTCTGTACATTCAAAATAGCACTACTGGGATTTAACTATTCTTCCTTCTAGTACTGTTAATTTCTACTTTATACTTTTTGAAGCTACATTACTTGGTTCATACAGTTTACAATAATTATATCAGTCTAGTAAACATATGCCTTAAGTATTATGAAATATTCCACTATCTCTAAATAAGATTCCTACCCTAAAATCCGCTTTTTAAAAATTGATGCATCAACATGTGGCCTTATTTTGGCTAATTTTTGCATGGTATGTGCTTTTCATCTCTTTATAACTTTTCTGTATCTCTATGCTTAAGACATTTTTCTTGTTAGAAGTCTAGAGTCGTTTTTGTTTCTTATCTCACAATCTTAAACATTTATTTAGAATATTTACATGTAACTATAACATGCACATTGATCTAGTTAGATTAATATTAACCAACGTGTATTTATTTTCTTTTGATCCTCATATTTCATGTTTCTTTAACTTTCCCTCCATTTTTTATTAATCAACTTTTTTATTGTTTTAATTTAGTGACATATTAATTATGTACCCTTGTACTTTTAGTGATTATCTTATAGGTTACAAGTATATGTGTGATTATTGCAGTTGTATACAAATTATCAAATTATTACATGTACCAATTTTCTACTAATACTAAAACTTACGACACTTTAACTAGAGGTAAGTCCTTCATGCTTTTGGTGTTACTATTTTTATTTATGTTAATACTACATATACATAAAATTCCTCAGGTATCATTATAATTTTGTACACTCATATTCATTTACAAGTACCTATTAACTTATTTTTTTTTTACTATTATTCATTCCTTCCTGCATTTCCACATTTTTATCATGGGTCATGTCCTTTTACTTGAGGAAATCTTTTCTTAAGAATTATTTTATTTTTTAATTTTATTTATTATCATTTTAATTTTACCAGAGAGAAACAGAGAGAGAGGAAAAGCAAAAGACCAAGCCATCAGATCCAGGACTTGAACTGTGGTCAATCATGTGGGAAGTCCAGCGCCTTGACCACCACACTACCTGCCAGACCTATTTGAGGAACTTTATTTCATTTTTTTGTTCGTCTAGAAAAATTTTTATTTCATATTTTTATTTAAAGGATATTTTCCTAGGTATAGAATTATACCAATGACCTTATTTTATGTCAGTATATATGTATATATATATATATGTTTTTTGAAAGGTTTTTGCTATAGGACCCATACGCTCGCTAGAAAGACAGAGAAAGAAAGCGAGAAATCAGCCCCCTGGGGGGATGGCCACGCCGCATTTCCTTCTTCTCCATTCTCTCGGGATCTTGGGCATACACACACATGCACCCGGCATGAGTTTAAACCACCAGGTGCAGGACTCGAACCATGGTCGACTACATGGGAGTCCAGTGACATAACCATTATGCTAACTGCTGGTCCCTATGTCAATATATTTTAAATGTTATTTCATTGTCCTCTGATTGTCATTCTTTCTGCCAGCAACAAATCCTACTGGCATTCCTTCAAAGGTAACGAATCTTTTCTTTCCTTCATCAAAAAAAAAAAAAAAAAAAAAGGAAATGAAACTTTTGTGTCACTTTAAGATTTTTCAAACATTTTACCTATTGAGAACAAGGCATGCACAACTAAACCAAGGGTGCAGTTTCAGAGAAGGTGGTGTGGTCAGGCTTTAAGAGCCATAATGACTTCATTCATGGGTACACAGTGAAGGCAGTGGTGTTGAAAATGCAACTGTAAATCTGAATTCCTTAGGGTGGTAGCTCTCCCCGGGGATTCCAGGCAAATACATAAAAATATCTTCTCCCTCCAACATTCAGAGTCCTCCTGTGACTCATCCCATTCTAGACAATGAAAACTGCATTTAAAGCAGGTTAGTACGTTATTTATCGATATAATGTGCACTTCAGGAGTGGAGGGCAGAGTATGCCTTCCAGACTAGAGGGTTCCTAAGGTAGGTAGGTGTTAGAGACTATTAAGACCTTTGTCTAGAGTTAAGTAGGCACAGTGAAGAAAACCAGAGTCATAAATACAGGCAATCCTAGCAGAATGGAAAGTTGTGTCTGCGAAGGGAGTAAAAAGGGCCTGGAAGCCATTTCAACTCTAATGTGCCAAGGATCCCTGAGTCCCTTGAAGGAAATCTTCTCAGGGCCCAGCTCCTGACTACTGTAAATATCCTATTTCTTAACTCTCATCCAATATTTGTGCATTCTGGATTCTAGAAATGGACAGAATTAACTTCAGAATTCAACAAAATCTCCATGAATGAAATAAGAATGTGGATGACTAAATTCCTTGTAAAGGCAGAGGAAAGGAGTGCCCATGAGGAAGAGGTGTCTCCCTGCACATCCCTGACATGGTGACTGTGTAGAAGATGCTAAGTGTCTCTGAAAAGGACTTGTTCTCCTAGCAGCACAAAGCAGAGATGGAGGGGACTCCTCTGAGATGCTTAAGGGACGTGGATCTTATCATCCTTCATGAGGACACTTGCACTAGGCTTTTGACCCCAAGATAAACAAGCAGCCATGGGAGTTCAGGCCGCTTTTCCCATAGACCAACCCCCAATATCCAAGATCTCTGGCTTCTTCTATCTGCTCCCCAAAAGAAAGTTCCTCTTTATTATCCATAAAGCAGTTAATGTGTATTGACATCTGAAAGCTGGGCATCTTCCATCTCCTTTTTTAATCATTTAAAAATTATTTTGCTTTATCTACATCTGCTTTTCCTGCTCTTTATTTTGAGAAATCTGGTGCATACTGTTAGTCTTTGGGCATTTCATACTTGTTTTCATTTCTTCCCCCTCCTTCAGGAGGCTGGTGGTCCTCAGAGGAGCACATACTCTCATAGAGTTTGTGTGGCCACAGAATGACCTTCTGGTAACTGTTGCCCACTACAGGACTCATCTACATTCTTGTGTAACCATTCCCTGTCCAAAAATGTGTGGTCCAGCACAAGCCTCTCCCGGCTCTCCTGGGATATGATTTATTGTTAACGGGGTCAGTCATTACTCAGAAGACTAATTTCCTCCTTAAATACAGAAGTTGAGAAAAAGCAGAATCCAACCGTTAGGAGAAGGAACTAATGATTATGGGTACTCACTGTGCAGGAAGCTCTGAGTCAGGCACTGGCTGAAGGAACACAGAGGCTGCAGATGTCTACCTGTCTCCTCATTTCTTAGATCCCTGAATCTCTCACTACCTCTATATCTTTTACTGCCTGGGTTTCTGCACTGAGCTCATCTTCTTAGCAGGGGAATGAGAAAATCCAGTGTAATACCAAGTTTAAGAGGATGCCAGAGAGAGCAGGACCTAAAGCAGAATTTCTCAGGCTTGGCAGTATTGACATCTGGAGCCAGGTGATCTCGGATGTGAGAGTTGCATGACGTTGACACTGCCTGATATTTAGCATCATGTCTGGCCTTTCTGCCCACAACATGCGAGTAGCAACCAATCCCCCATTAGGACAACTCAAGTGAATCCAGGTATCATGAAATGTCCTTTGAGAAACAAAATTGTCTCCATTTGACCACTAACCTAAAATTTGGACTTCAGAATGAAAAATATTTATTTTATATATAATATTACTCATATCTCCAGGGGTTTAATGACCCCTCTGGCTACTTAATCACCAATATTTCGGCTACATTATCTAAATCTGAGTCCATCTGACTTACTTCTCTCCATCAGTAACTTAGGTTGGGTCTTTTGCCCTTTTTTCTGTGTTAACACCTGAGCACTCTTTGTAGTTCTCTAGGGAAATAAATGAATTAATAAAACCCTTTTCTCAATTTCTCAGCCTACAGCTTCCCTAAGTGCATGGTTCTTTTCAAGCTTTATTGGAATGTCATTACTGATGACCAAAAGGACGTAAAATATATTGAAGTATCTAAATATCAAATATAGGCAGAATTTCTATTATAAATTATTTTTAAATTCCTGTGGTATTAAATATGGTCCACATATAGGAAACAGGTCATGGCAACGTGCTCAGGGGTTCTCCCCTAGTGTCTTATTCCTCAACCACAGGGCACTGTCAGTGTCGATTTTCCTCAGTCCAGTGTGGTCTCGTGCCCCTTCGCTCGATTCACATCTCAGAAAACGAGGTATTCTACAGTTAGAGAAACCTCAAATACAAACTCTATACCTTACTACTGTTACCAAGTTCTAGGATCCTCAACTCCTTATTCTCAAAATTCATGAATGATAATATGAAATTCCCTGGATTGTTTCAAATAATTAACCAAGTACTGTAAGTATAATTTTTCATCAGTGCCTGACATAAGATAGGCCATTTAAAAAGCTGTTTTGTTAATTCTGTTTCATTGTAAAAATACTATGTCAAACATCATTACTTTCTGGTAAGGAAAATACTACATCTTCTTTCACATTATTTCTCCCATTCCTTTGCAGATAAATACACCTAATGCTCTCCAAATTTTAAAAATTCCATGAAGGCTGGCCAACACCTCTAAGGACAGTGTTCTACTCGTTCATTTGTAATCAGAGCCACAATACTTTCGTTTCTTTCTCCCATTGCCTCATATATGAGATCGCATGACCATATAGGAGTACAAACTATATTAAATGCATATTAAGTATGACACCATCTTTCCTTAAACTTCTAAATGCCTTCACCAGATTTTCAATCTAGCTCACTTCGATCCAATGACATGCTCTGGACAAATAGGCAGAATTACTGTTTCTATTATGTTCCATAGCAGCTTGTTGTACCATTAAATTGTTCACTTAGTGTATAGAGGGACTTCAAAGAGTTCAGGAAAAACATGAAATTAGAGTATAAGTTTATTGTGTGTAATTTTAAATGCATGCACAGTTTTTTAAAAAACTTGCATTTTCCATTAATGTTTTGAGGTGCCCCCACCTATTATTTTAGTTAGCTGCATAAATAGCTTTCTTAACTGTTAAGATTGTTATCTTTTAAAGAAACAGACAATGTTTTATTCATCTTGTCATCCTCTATAGTTCCTGGCACAACTATGAAAAAGAATCAGACAAGTGTCATAAACCTCCAGTGACATCTGAAAAAAAAAAAAAAAAACTTGAAGAAAATATAAGATTTTGACTTTTTTGTAAAAGAAGTTAGGTTCCAGGACATCTGCTTCAGGCATGCCTACCTTAAACCTCACTAGTGATAGCCACACCATCTTCCACTTGCTGGGCATCCCCGGCCTAGAAGACCAGCACATGTGGATTTCCATCCCCTTCTTCATTTCTTATGCCATTGCCCTGGTTGGGAACAGCCTGCTCATCTTCATCATCCTCACAAAGCGCAGCCTCCACGAGCCCATGTACCTCTTCCTCTGCATGCTGGCTGGGGCAGACGTTGTCCTTTCTACATCCACAGTTCCTCAGGCCCTGGCCATCTTCTGGTTCCATGCTGGGGAGATCTCCCTGGATCGCTGCATCACTCAGCTCTTCTTCATCCATTCCACTTTCATCTCTGAGTCTGGGATCCTGCTGGTGATGGCGTTTGACCGCTACATCGCCATTTGCTACCCACTGAGGTACACCACTATTCTTACAAATTCCCTGATTGGCAAAATTGGCTCAGCTATCTTCCTAAGAAGTTATGGTACAATTTTCCCCATAATATTTCTTCTGAAAAGACTTACATTTTGCAGAAATAACAATCTTCCACACACTGGTTGTGAGCACATTGGTTTAGCCAAATTTTCCTGTGATGACATCCGAGTAAATATCTGGTATGGTTTTTTTGTCTTGATGTCAACAGTGACTTTAGATGTTATTCTGATTTTTATTTCTTACATGCTTATTCTCCGTGCAGTCTTCCACATCCCTTCACAAGATGCTCGCCACAAAGCCCTCAATACTTGTGGTTCCCATGTCTGTGTCATCATCCTCTTCTATGGGCCTGGAATCTTCTCTGTCCTCACTGAGCGGTTTGGGCACCACATTGCCCCCCATATCCATGTCCTGTTGGCCAATATCTGCATCCTGGTTCCACCTATGCTAAATCCCATCATTTATGGAGTTAAGACCAAACAGATCCGGGACCAGGTGATTCACATCTTATTTCCAAAAGTAATATGACTCTGAGAATGAAAACCTACCTATATGTCTAGTCATACACAAGGCTAATTTTAGCAACCCTAGTATGTGTGGGACAGCAGAGACTCGATAAATATTTCAATGAGGTTATGATACAGAACAAGCCCACTAGGAAAGCTTTGGGGTACGCTTTTCAGAGTCTAATCAATAGCAGATTGATTTCTTTGTGTCTCAAAGAATTTTGTCATTGAGACGCTAAGAAATAAACCATGTCACCCTTTTAATTTATTCCTACTCCATAACCCTAGATAGGTATGAGGAAACTTCAAAATGTTTCTGTGATAATGGAATTAAAGTACACATTTATTTTGATGCCAAAAAATTGAAATCCATGCATAGTTTTTCATGAAACACACTTTCCATGACTTTCTGAAGACCTATCATATTTGGAAAAAAATGAGTGATAGGCAATTGCAGGAGTATGCTCTCCTGGCTTACTTTCTGCCTTATAGTGAAGTGGTTTTCATTTCCTCTTATCTATCCTGAGCATCGTTCAATGCATTCTTCCCTCTGTCTTCTCTATTTTTCTTTTCTAGGCTCATTTTTACTTGATTTTTTTTTTTATTTCTTCTATCAGAAGGAAAGAAAGGATGAAGGAAGGGGAAAACCTTTGGTACTCATATTCTCAGATAGTCTCTCTCCTCTCTCAATAAGACACGAGAAAGTTCTCCAAAAAAAAAAAAAAGGGACCAGCAGTTAGTGTAATAGCTGTGTCGCTGGACTCCTGCGTAGTCAACTGCGGTTCGCATCCCAGACCCAGTGGCTTAAAACTCACGCTGGGCGAGTGTGCGTGCGTGACCAAGATCCCGAGAGGAGTATGGAGAAGGGATTGTGGTGTGGACATCCCCCATGGGGGGTGATTTCTTGCTTTCTGTCTCTCTGTCTGTCTCTGTCTGTCTGGCGAGCGCACGCGCTCTATAGCAAAAACCTCTCCAAAAAAAAAAGACATCAGAAAGTATTGTGTATACATTTAAGAGTCACTGTCGCTCTCTTTATTTGTATTGATCTCACTCCAGTCTGACTTTTGTTCTATGCTATTGACACTACATGTTACAGGTACCTCCATACTGCTGAATTCAGTGGTCAATATTCAATTTACATCTTCCATGACACATCAACAGCATTTGATATAATCAAGCACTCTCTGATTACTAACTCCTCACTCATCCATCTTAGTTAATATAGTATAAACAAAATTGGTACGAAAACCACCCACATGGCTAACATAGTCCTGCTAATATTTTATAGCTTGCTACATACCTTTAGGTAAGTATATATTTTGAAATTGAATTATATTCTGCTTAGCTTTCGAGAATAAACTTTTCTCACTTAGTAAAGTAATGTGGACTTATTATGCCAAAAATATAGACCTCTGTAGGCATTTTTAATGCCTCTTCCTTGTATTCAGAACAAGAATGTGCCATGCATAATTGAGCCACTCTTTTAAAAGCAATCCTCACATTTCATTTTTATTATTTATTTAGTGGTCATTCTCAATTGAGAATTCTACATTCAGCATTCTACATATGTTGCTTTTCTGGTGTCTTTTATATCATCTGAAAGAACAGGCATGTAAATAAAGTAATTAAGATACATTTCCTTGCAAACTGTAAACTATGATATTATCACTTTAAATCATCTGGAAATGATGAAATACATGAATGAGTTACATTTATTACTTTTACAAGTAAAATGTACCTTCTTTTGTATTTGCCCTTTTATACATTTCTGAAATACATAAAATGATTTTTAACATAGATTAAAAAAATAAGTATTAAGTTTTAATCAAATTTTCACTGGCTATAAAATATGACAATTTGTGGAAGAGCCATAATCTATCCATCCATTTATTTTTTTCTTAATGTGGAGTATATTTCAAATTTTTTGGTTGTACAAGAAGATAGTGACTATAAAACATTTCCCCATTCCATTCCATTTGACCATTAGCATCAATTATACATGAGCTTTAAATATTATGTAGGCAAATTACAAGTCTTTTTCATTGTTTCCTTTGTGTTCCTCAGAAACATTTCAAATCAAACTGTGACATTTTAATTTTTTGCTTCTACTTAAATTGGTATTTCACTATTTAAGGTCAACATTTCAAAAATATGTATTGATACACAAATAAGAAATAGAAACATTATTCTAACAACTAAAAAGCACAATGATTAAACAAAATAGTTCATAATTACAAAATATTTTATAATTTCAACACATTTTCACATATTATGTACTCTAAGTATTTTTTGTCTTACATTTTTTATGTAATGTTATGTACATGTATTCATTTGGCATCAATAACATTACATAGTTAAGTTTAATAAACACAGAATTTACTATTATACAGGTACATTGTATTTTGTCAGCTACTGAATTCTTGCTCAATAATTTCTTCCTAGTAATAGAGAGTATAAATAAAATTTTCATGAATGTAAGTATTACCAAATATTTGTTATATTTCCGCCCTGTGGCACACTGTAAGAAAGATTCATATGTATGTTTGACTGAGTCCAGGTCAGTTGAATATGCAATAAGTTTTTCACATGCTTTTGTTTGTTCGAAATTTTATTTACTTATTTTTTTAATTGAGAAAAAATATATACATGTATCATGGAAAAGATGATGCTTTGAAATATGTATTCTTTGTGTAAAGATTTAATAGATCTCAGCACACATGCATTATATCACATACTCAATATTATTTGAGATAAGAACACTAAATCTCGTCCCTTAACAATTTTTTTTTCATTTTTTTATACATTCAATTACCTTTTTTAGCTTACAAAGTGAATATTTCACTATGTGAACATTTCTCCCTAGTCCAGTTGGTTAAACTATAAATAATGCATTGTTATTAACCATAGTCAGTCACCATGGTGAACAAAAGAACTCTTGAATCTATTTCTTTTACCTAACTGAAATTTTGTATTCTTTGACAATCTCCTCAAATCTACCACATTCTTAGCTCCTGGTAGCAATCATTTTACTCTCTACTTTCATGTGTCCATCATTTTTAGATTTCACTTAAGTGAGATCATGCAGTGTTATCTTTTTGTGCCTGGCTTCTTTCCCTTAACTTAATGTCCTCCGGATTCATCCATATCGTCATGAATGACAGGCTTTTCTTATTTTCGTGGCAAGTTAGTATTCCATTGTGTATATATATTACATTTTCTATATCCACTCATCCCTTAATGGACATTTAGGTTTATTCCATAACTCAGTTATTGTGAATAAAGCCACAATGAACATGGGAGTTCAAGACGAGATCTCTTCTACATAACTCATTTCATTTCCTTTAGTCATATACCCAGGATTGGGATTGTTGGATCATATGGAAGCTCTAGGTTTTGTTTATTTTAAAAGCTCTCATATCATTTTCCATAGTGGTTGTACTAATTAATATTCCCAAAAGGGTTCCTTTTTCTCTACATTCTTTCCAAAGCATCTTTCCTTTTCTTTTTGATAACAGTAAATCTAAAAGGTGTGAGGTGATAACTCATTGTGGTTTTTAATTTTTAATGAATATTGATTCTATATTTTACATGGCACAATGCAAGGTATTGATATATTTGAAATACATTAATTTGTTAAGACTGTCAGGAGAATTTTCAAAATGAAAGACAGAACAAAAATGACAATGGAAGGAAAATTACTTTAAGGCTAAATAACAAATTGATCATTTTACATACTTGTCACGTTTTGTAGTGAAAAATCAATATAATTGTAATTTACAATACTTGATGATTAATGATATCGAGCATTTTTTTCTATACCTGTTAGCTATTTGTATGTCTTCATATGACAAATGTGTGTTTAGGTCTATTTATTAAGTGGTTTCTCTCAATATTGAGATATTAAGTTCCTATATATTTTGAATATTAACCCCCATAATTGATTCGCAAATATGTTCTTTCATTTCATCAGCTGTCTTTTTACTCTTCTGGTTATTTCCCAGAGTGTGTAAAAACTTTGTACTTTGACATAATCATCTTTGTCTATTTCTGCTTTTGTTGTTTTTGCTTTGGGTTTGTATTCAAAAAATTATTTTTCTGACCAATGTCATAAAGCTTTTTCCCTAAGGTTCTAAGACTAGTTTTACAGATTCAGATCTTTTAAATCTTTAATCCATTTTGAGTTGATTTTTATCTAAAGATCTGAATTTATTCTTGTGCAAAAGGATATTCATTTTTCCCCCAGGCTCATTTATTGAAGGGTCTATTCCTTCCTTATTGTGTTTTCTTGACATTTTTGGTGAAAATCAGTTGACTGTAAATGCATGGGGTTATTTCTCAGCTCTCTCTTCTGTTCCACTAGAAGTATCTGTTTTTATCCTAATACCATGCTGTTTGGATTATAATAGCTTGGTAGTAGTATATTTTTAAGTCATATACTGTGATGCCTCTAGCTTCCTTCTTTTTCTCAAAATTGTCCTGGGACCAGCAGTTAGTGTAATGGCTATGTCGTTGGACTCCCACGTAGTCGACCGTGGTTCACACCACGTCCCAGACCCGTTGGCTTGAAACTCACGCCAGGTGCATGTGCGTGCGTGCCCAAGATCCCAAGAGGAGAATGGAGGAGAAGGGATTGCAGTGTGGCCATTCCCCCTGGGGGGGGATTTCCCGCTTTCTGTCTCTCTATCTCTCTCTGTCTGGCGAGTGCACATGTCCTATGGCAAAAACCTCTCTAAAAAAACAACAACAACAACAAGAAAATGAAAAAAAAAATTGTCCTAATTATTTGGTGGAGTTTTCTTGTGCTTCCATAGGAATTTTAACATTGTTTCATCTCTTGCTATGAAAAATAATATTGGAATTTTGTTTGTGATTTTATTGAGTTTCCAAGCCACTTTGAGTAGTATGGGCATTTTAGCACTATTAATTCTTCTAATCCAAATGATGAAAATTTGCATCTTCAATTTCTTTCATCAAGGTTGTAAAGTATCTAGTGAGCAGGTCTTTGACCTCCCTGGTTAAATATATTCCTAAGTAATTTGCCTACTTTTTGATGCTTTGGTGAATGGGAAAGTTTTCCTGATTTCTTTTTTTTTTTGGATATTTCATTCTTAGTGTATAAAAATGCTATGAATTTCAGTATTTTGATTCAGAATACTGAAACGTTTATTTGTTTATTAGTTTTTAACATGTTTTGTAAGGTGTATTGAATTTTTTTTATATGTGAAATCACGTCATCTTCCAACAAAGGCAATTTAACTTATTTCATTTCCATTTGGATGCCCTTCATTTTTTTTTTCTCTTGTCTAATCACTCTGGATAGAACTTCCAGCACCATGATGAATAGAAGTTGTAAGAATGGGCATCACTTCCTTCTTCTGGATTTTAGGGGAAAGTTTTCAGCATTTCACTGAGTATAAGTTGGATATATTCAGTAATCTCCCTTCTTTGTATGTACTCAAAGGAAACAAAATCAAAGAAATATCTAAACTCCCATGCTTGTTGAAGAATTATTCATAATAACCAAGACATGGAGACAATGTATATGTTCATCAATGAATTACTGGGTAAATTATGGTAGATATATACAATGGAATATTATTCAGTCACTAAAAATGACATTATTTCAGTCAAACAGTGGTACAGTGGTGACACAATGCATTGCAAGTTTGACCCATGTGGAAAGGTTCTGTGTTAATGTCTGAGGGCTTCTCTGAATATTGGGTATACACTTACTCATTATCCAGAGTTGTCTGAAGCTGGAATGGATTCCAATGCAAAGGATTCTTTTGGGTGTTTCTGGCTCTCTGTCTCTATCTCTGTCTCTTTGTCTCTCTCCCCCAATTGTTTTCCTCTATCTTCCTCTGTTTCTCACATTCTTGGAGGAAAGGAAAATAGACTTTTAAAAAAGGAAAATTCTAGAATATGTGAGAAAATACTGAATCTGAGGGGATTGTGTTAAGTGAAATAAGTTGGACAAAGAATTAAATATGATATATGCTCATTTATATTGTAATCTAAAATAGTCAAACTCTTGAAACAGAGTAAAACAAAGGGTATCAGAAAGTCATAATTGGGGGGACCAGCAGTTAGTGTAATGGCTATGTCACTGGACTCCCATGTAGTTGACCACGGTTTGTGTCCCGGATCTGGTGGCTTAAAACTCACGCTGGGCACATGTGCATGCATGCCCAAGATCCCAAGAGGAAAATGGAGAAGAAGGGATTGTGGAATGGCCATTCCCCTGGTGGGTGATTTCTTGCTTTCTGTCTCTCTGTCTCTCTCTGTCTGTCTGGCGAGCGCACGCGCCCTATAGCAAAAACCTCTTCAAAAAAAAAGTCAGAATTGGGGAAAGTAAGAAGTTGGTAAAAAGTTTCAGTTATAAAACATTCACAGTAGCTGAAACATGTAGTAAATCATCAACTGGATGAAGAAAATATGTCACATATACAGAATGGACTACTACTCTGTTATAAAAGAACCATATTCTATCAATTCATACAAAGTGGAGAAACCTAGAATATGTAATGCTAAGTGAAATTAAGCCAGGCTGTGACAGACAAATACTGTATGTCCTCACTTAACAAATACCAAATGTCAGCACTCTATGGCAGAAACTGAACAATTCAATGGCATAGAAATGAAAGTAATTTTTTTTTTTGGTAAGGTTTTTGCCATAGTGTGCATGCACTCACCAGAGAGAGAGAGAGACAGTGAAAGGGAAAGTGAGAAATCATTCCCCAGGGGATATAGCAATGCCCCAATCATTTTTTCTTCATTATCCTATTAGGATTTTAGGCATGCATGCACTCACATGCATGGTCCATTGGGACCAGGACTGAAACCACAGTTGGCCATGTAGGAGTCCTGCACATTAACTGCCACCCACCTGCTGGCCCCCAGAGAATAGTGTTCTTTAAAGAAACAAAATGTGAGGAAGTTATTTGAAAGTATGAATAATTCATATACAGAAGTAGGATCTAGAGGAAATTTAGAACTGAATACCATGGATATTATAGAAGCAAAAAGCATGATTATAGATTATCATAAGCATTCAATAGATGAGTTACACAGCAGACTTTAAAGAGAGAACACAATTGTGAACTAGAAGATAAATTGATAATTTTAACAGAAGCTAAAGCAAGAAAGATGGAAAATAATGGCCAAAGTAACAAATTAGTATAAGAAACAAAATTAACATTTTCAAAATATGGTATATAAATATATTCCAAAAAGAGAGAATATGAGACAAAAACAACGTTCAAGATAATGGCTGAAATTTTTCCAAAAGTGATTAAATGTATACACTGACAGTTAAGAATCTTAGAAAATCCCACAAAGAATACATGCAAAACCAAGTACACATGGATAAAACATAATGAACACTCTGAAATACCAAAAGAGACTAAAGAAAGTCTTAAAGTAGCCAGAAATAAAGGCACAATTCATTTGAAGGAACAAAAATAAGACTGTCAGAGAATTTTCAAAATAAAAGACAGCAAAGATCACAATGGGAAGAAAATTATTTTTAAGTTTTTTAAAAAATGTTTTACAACTAAAAATTCTACACACATGAAAATCTCTTTTTAAAAACAAGAAGGACCAACAGATGGTTGTAATGGGTACGTCTCTGGACTCCCACATAGTCAACCACAGTTCGAGTCCTGGACCTGGCAGCTTAAAACTCACACCGGGAAAATGTGTTTACATACCCAAAATCCCTAAAGGAGGATGGAGGAGATGGGATTGTGGTATGGCCATCCCCCCGAGGAGTGATAGCTCACTTTCCGTCTCTCTGTCTCTCTCTGCTCTCTGACAAGCACACAAAAATTTTTTGCAAACCTACACTAAAAGAATTTTAGTCAATGATGTTTGACTATAACTCTTTTTAAAATTTTTTTACCACTTATTCTTTTTTGTGTAAATCATGTCCACTGAATAAATGTTAGGTGATTCAGAATAAAGTTATTTCTAAAATTACCCATATCTTATGATTCATATTTATACACCATTATATAATTTTACCATATATGATGCAAGTATGGGTATAAAAGTATATTTTAATGAGTCATTTATCTTTATAATCTAGAATGTACTTCTCTCTTTTACATAGACATTTAGAGCATAGTTCCTTCACCAGATATCTAAACACGTATTATCATCTCTCACTGACCTAGTGTATTCCACATTATAGATGTTACATTTGCTCATTTTAGAAGTGTTACTATTTAGAAATCATTTCTAATATTTCAGCATTTCATTTAATAATTGCTAAATCCATTATTATGTGTGCTATTTTTTAGCAAGCACTAGACTATTGTTGGATATTTATAAAAGATTAATGGTATTAATAAAAATGTCATGAACATAAATAATAAGCTTTTGCTACATTTTGCCTTCTAAGAGAAATATAATATATACATTTATACTTCAATTTATGCTAAAATTATGAGACACAGATGATTTTTGTAATCATTCCTGTTAAAGACAAACCTTTAAATATACAGAGTACATTGGGTGAAATGGCAGAAGCAAAGGCCACAAGAAGAATAAAACAGCCATTCAAGACTTAAACGCATCAGGAAAAAACACTTCATCTACTATACAGAAATAACTAGTTTTCAGTCCATAGTATTTTTTTTTCTTTTTTTGGAGAGGTTTTTGCTATAGGGCACGTGTGCTCACCAGACAGACAGAGAGAGACAGAGAGACAGAAAGCGAGAAATCACTCCCCAGAGGGGATGGCCATGCTGCAATCCCTTCTCCTCCATTCTCCTCTCGGGATCTTGGGCACGCATGCACACGTGCCCGGCATGAGTTTAAGCCACCAGGTCGGGGACTCGAACCACGGTCGACTACGTGGGAGTCCAGCAACATAATCATTATGCTAACTGCTGGTCCCATCAGTCCATATTATTTCAACATTTAGTCAAGTTTATAGAGAGATAAGTGACTTAAAGATATATATTAATGTAGTCTCAGATCCACAAAACTAAGCACCAAAACACACTGACATCCAATGATTCGCGTTTTTTTTTTAATATGAATAAAATTAACCTGATATAGTTGCTCTAAAGATACCACTAGATGTGGTCACTTGACTAGTTGCTCAGTTGTATCTTCCCAATGACAATGCTAAACTTCTCTTCATACAAGGAAAAAGTTGTTACAGAGAAAAGTATAATGTCAGTTTTTATTATCACATTCATTTGTGCTTTGTACAGAACACATGAATCACCTGGTCCCGGATCTGTTTGGTCTTAACACCATAAATGATTGGATTCAGCACAGGTGCAGCCAGAATGTAGACACTGGCCAGGAGGACATGGATATGGGGTGCAATGTGCTGTCCAAACCTCTGAGTGAGGACTGAGAAGAAGCCAGGGGCATAGAAGAGGATGATGACACAGACATGGGAGCCACAAGTGTTGAGAGCTTTGTGGCGAGCATTTTGGGAAGACATGCGAAACACTGCACGGAGAATGAGTACATAAGAAAAAAATATTAGCACAACATCTATTACCATGGTTGACATAAGGACAAAAATACCATACCAGATGTTTACTCGGATGTCATCACAAGAAACACGGGCCAAGACAATGTGCTTACAAACAGTGTTTGGGAGGATGTTACTTTTGCAGAAAGTCAATCTTTTCAGAAGAAATATCACAGGAAAAATTGTACAATAACTTCTCAGGAAGATAGCCACACCAATTTTCCCAATAAGTGCATGTGTAAGAATAGATATATACCTCAGTGGGTAGCAAATAGCAATGTAGCGGTCAAATGCCATCACCAGTAAGATACCTGATTCATAAACAACAGTAGAAGAGAGAAAGAATACCTGAGTAATACAGAGATCAAGGGAGATCTCCCCAGCATGGAACCAGAAGATAGCCAAGGCCTGAGGTACTGTGGTCGTAGAGAGGACAATGTCTGCTCCAGCCAACATGCAGAGAAAGAGGTACATGGGCTCATGGAGGCTGCGTTTTGTGAGGATGATGAAGACAAGGAGGCTGTTCCCAAGCAGAGCAATGACGTAAGAAATAAAGAAAGGAATGGAAATCCATACATGCTGGTCCTCTAGGCCAGGGATTCCCAGCAAGTAGAAGACTGTGTGGCTAATATCAGTATGATTTAAGGCAGCCATGTTTGAAAAGACCACCTGGGATTCCACCATCTACATGCAGAGACAAAAAATACAGATTATACTCAAATATTTTCTTTGCTATCACTAGTGCCTGACAACATTCACTTTAGAAGATGACAATAGCTTTATTATAGAGTCAGTAAAGTCATGATGTGTTTTTTCCGTGCAAAAATGTGCACGACTTTTCAGACAACCCAATATAAAGATCAATATTTCATTGTTTGTTTTCTCAATGAGATATTAATCACAGAAACAAGATAAACATTTAAACAAGTAAAAAAATAAAATGATAAAGTTAATATTGTCCTTGTGCAAAATAAAGCGTATAGCGTGGGACCAGTAGATGGTGAAATGGCTATGTAGCTGGACTCCTATGTTATCGACCATGGTTCGACTACATTGGATTAAACTCATGCCGGGTGCATGTGTGTGTGCGTGCATGCCCAAGATTCCAAGAGGAGAATGGAGGAAAAGGGATTGTGGCATGGCCATACCCCCACTGGGGGGTGATTTCTCGCTTTCTGTCTCTCTGTCCCTCTCTGTCTTTCTGGTGAGCACATGCACCCTATAGAAAAACCTCTTCAAAAAAAATTTAAAACATAGCATAACACAGGGAAGATATAATATATTCTGTGAAGTTTTTGAGAATGAGTACACATCTGAAGTTACTCCCTGAAAGTAATGTAATACGCCAACAGGTAGAAGGGTGGCAAATAAAATCTTTCCACCGGAGGCCCAAGATTGGTCCTAAAGAGTTTAGGGAGTAAGGGTTGGTCCATAGGTGAATTTGTGTGTGTACTAGAATGATTGATTGCCTAATCCAGGGTCACTCTTAAAATCTCAGTGGGTAGCAAATAGCAATAACACGCAGGTTTTCACAGCTTTGATCCAGATGACTTCAGTATCCTAGAAAAATAATTTCAATCTTCCTGTTTTATATAGCTGAAAGAATTACTCTAATTCAAAGCATGTCTCATTGGTTGCATGACCCATCTCCCCATAAGTTACTTCTTTTCCCTTCTGACTCAAGGAGTCTAACATCAGAGCACCTGTGTCTTGAATAGGAGCATGTCTGATCACGCCAAAAATCCCCTTTGATTCTGAACTAATGATGGCTTGAGTGTCATCCTTTTGTGTTTGAAACTCTAAAATCTAGCACATGAAAAACATTGAAGTTTTCAAAGCATTTCTTAACAAAACAACTCAATGACAAATATTAGATGAGTATTACATATATTAGATGAATTCCTCTCTCTCTCTCTCTCTTTCGTTTGTTTGTTTTGCTGTAAGGTATTGCCTAAGAGACAGAGATGGGGGGAGGCACTGAGAATACACCCTCCCAGAAGGTGATGGCCATGTCCAATCCCTCCTCTTACATTCTCCTCTCAGGATTTTGGGCACACATGCATGTGCACCCAGCTATGCTCCAAACTGTCTGTCCAGGACTTGAACCATGCAGTTGGACATTGGGGATCCAGCCGCCCTAATCACTATAACATCAGCTGGCTTGAATGAGTCCCACTTAATGTCTGAATTACAGTAATCAGGATCTGGATCCAACACAGAAACTGTGAGAACTCAGGACTTATTGTCACTAAAAGTTAAAGGATGTCCTTAATCTCAGAGCCTCCCCATCATTTCCGCTATTAGAGCACTTTACCTTCTATTAGGACTCTGCATGTGTGACTCTGGTCCCAGGAATTTCCCTGAAATTGTATCCTACAGGAATAAAAATTCACTCACCTACTTCAAGTGGAGTTCAGGGATGTTCAGCTTAAATAAGATTAGTCCATGATAGAATCTCAAAGTGATGAAGACCAGGAAACTGAGACTTTATGCCTTTGCCTAAAGCCCTCAGGGATGTCTATTACTCTACGGACTGCAGACTTAGAGCTGTGCTTAAAACCACACCCTCTCTGGCCACATTTGGGTCACAGCATTACAGCCCTAACCCTACTCACACCACCATACTCTACAACACATCCAAGGATAAGGTGGCACGTGTGCTCTTTTCAAATACTAAGCTGTTCACACTACTGCACAAATATTCCTACCTCCAATTTAATGGGAATTAGCAAATATTGATTCCATTTGTCAGCACAAATATTTGAAAATTAATATAAAGTATTTATAAATAATGATTATGACAAAAGAATTTCTTCTCAATTTAGACATCTTGAAATTAAATATATATCAAATGTTAAATTCATTTAAACTTTGGAAATTGTAACCATAATGTTTTTAAATATTTATGTAAGAATCCTTGAATGTCTTTTTTTTTAAGAGGGATTTTTGCTACATAGGGCATGTGTGCTTGCCAGAGAGACAGAAAGAGAGAAATCACGTCCCAGGGGGGATGGCCAAGACACAACCCCTTCTCCTCCTCCATTCTCCTCTCAGGATCTTGGGCACACATGCACACACACCCAGAGAGAGTTTAAGCTGCTGGGTCCAGGACTCAAACCACAGTTAATTGCATGGAAATCTGGTGACATACCATTATGCCATCTCCTGGACCCTTGAATGTTTTTTTAAGCTCTATTTGTTCTACATATGTTAATTGTGGTCAACTATGTAAATCGTTCTCCACCCCCTTCTCTTCTGGTTACAAGTAATCTACATTTAATTTTCAATTGTCTGAAATTATTTCAAAACTCCTCTGACTGATAAATTTATCTCCCTTTTAAATTTTTATTATAATGTTAATTGGTATATAATAGCTGTATATATTTATGGGGTGATTTTTCAATACATGAATACAGTGTGTAATTAATAATCAAGTCAGGCAAGAAACATCCACCATTGCCCACATTTTTTTATTACTTACTTCAAAATCATCCCTTCCAGCTATTTTGAAATAGACATTAAATTGTCAAAAAGGTATTCCTTCTAGTGTGCATGCTACTCTAGAATTCATTCTATTCATCTACTTGCAATTTTGTATCTGTTAACCAACTTCTCCCATACCTCACCTTTCCTAGCTTCTGGTATTCATTCTTCTACTCTCCATTTTCTTGAGAATCAGGGGTTATAGATCCCACTAATGAGGGAGAACAGGTGGTATTTGTCTTTCATTGCCTGGTTTCTTTCACTCAGCATAATTTCCTCCAGGCTCATCCATTTTGCTACAAACAGTAGGATTTCATATATTATTTTATGGCTGAATAATATACCATTGGGTATATATGCCACATTTTATTTACCCATTCACCAGCTGATAGAGACTTGGATTGATTTTATATCTAAACTATTGTGACGAACGCTGCAATAGATCTGGAGATACACATACCTCTTCACCACCAGAGCATTATAACTTTGCTAGAATGTGCTTCTTGACCTGCACATGGTCACTTTTGTTAACTTCTCACATTCATATGAAAAGACACCAATTCTTGTGTTATCCATGCAGTCTTGGATAAATATCAAGTAGCTCAAAACTTCTAATTATATTATTTCCTGTGTCTTCATTAGTGTTATTAGTCTTTTATGTCCTTAATTTTTATTTATTGGGAGATGTGCCAAAGTATTCCACTATGTCATGAGATTTGATTAGTTTTTCTTTTAATATTACTAATTTTTTTAATAGAGTTTTGCTATAGGGCACATGCACTCACCAGAGAGACAGAGAGAGATAAACAGAAAGCAAGAAGTCATCCTCCATGTGGATGGCCATGCCTGTCTCTTCTCTTCCATTCTCTTTGGGATTTTGGTCATGCACATACATGCACTGGTGTGAGTTTTAAGCCTCCAGGTCCAGGACTTGAACTACATTCAAGTATGTGGGAGTCCAGAGACATAACCATTATGCTATCTGCTGATCCCAGTACTATTAATTTTTACTTTATGTTTTTGAGTCTATGCTACTTGCTGCATAATATTTAAAATACTTACATATTTATACTGAATATATGTCTTAATTATTATGGAAAAACATTTTTTACCTCTAGTTAAGGTTCTTGCCCTAAAGTCCACTTACTTTTTATTAATATATCAACTTGTAGTTTCTTTTGGTTAGTGTTTGCATGCTATGTGTTTTTCTCATCTTGTTCCTAAATTTTTCTGTGTCTCTATGCTTAAGATAGTTCTCTTTTTAGAAGCATATAGTATTTTTGTGATCCACTCTTACAATCTTAAACATTTATGTAGAATATTTAGATGTAATGTTAATGTACACATTGATTTACTTGAGTTTAAATTAACCATCAATCACTTGTATTTATTGTCATCTGATCCTTATGTTTAATGTTTCTTTAACTATCTTTAATTTTCTTAATCAAATAATTATTTCCTCTGACTCTATTAACATTTGGTTATATACCTTTTTACTTTCCAGAGTTACCTTATAGATTACAAATACATATGTGATGATTGTAGTTGGGTACAAATTATTGTATTTACCAGTTTTCACTAATGCTGAAAACTTAAAATATTTTAACTAAATGTAAACCCTTCATATCTGTGGTGTTCTTGTTCTTATGTATTTTAATTCTACGTAGATATAAATTTTATTAAGGCATTAGTATTATAATTTTTGTAAAATCCAATATTATTACATGAACCTACATATTTGCTTATTTTATTATTCATCCTTCATTTCCACATTTTTGTTTTGTTTTGTTTTTGTTGGTTTTTTTTTTTTTTAGAGGTTTTTGCTATTAGGCACATGTGCTTGCCAGAAAGACACAGACAGACAGAAAGCGAGAAATCACTCTCCCAGGGGGGATGGCAACACCATAATCCCTTCTCCTCCACTCTCCTCTTAGGATCCTGGGCACACACGCACACACACTTGGCATGAGTTTAAGCCACAGGGTCTAGAACTCGAACCGTGCTCTAATACATGGGAGTCCAGCGATGTAGCCATTATGCCAACTGCTGGTCCCAATTTCCACATTTTTATCATAGATTATTTTCCTTCTGTCTAAAGAACTCTTTGTGTGGCACTTAGTGCCTGTCTGCCGTAACCAATTATGTTATTTTCTATTCTGTCTGGAAAAGTT